TTTTACTAGAAAGGTATACAAATAAGAAAATAGAAGAATGAGATCATTCCATCCGAACAAAAAGCAACCATGCCCTGTTAATGTATCTGATAGAATATTAGAGCAAAGTGATAAAATATTGTGACCTCATTCGTACAAATTTCAAGTACAAAATTACATATATTAGAGGAAGAATATTTTTCATATCTCCAACATGCTCTAACTAATTCCCATAAGCTAAGGAGCCTTTACCTATCAGAGCAGCAGCTAAAAGGAAAAGCCCTCTCATAAAAATATGGTTTTCACCTGATTTAACACAAACAACGCGGTCAAGTAGTTGCTTTGAACTAATCAAGCGTGCTTCTGGATCAAGCAGCCTCCACATTTCCAGTGCATAATCCCTTTCAGCCATTGTACAAACATAAACTTCAAACCTTTTCCGACCTTTTGCAGTCAAATAACTTCTCAGATCTTCCCAAGCAGGTCGTAACCTGACTAACACACTAGTATCACGATTCTGCAGAGGAGAGCAACCATATTAAGAGCAAAGACATCAATCCAACAATGAAAAGAATTACATAAATGATACAAATCATTACAATAATTTTGTAATGGTGAATCATAATCTAAAACCCCAAGGAACTTTTAATAGGGTTCAATTCAATACATCTAGTTGTCCAGAGTTCTGTGTAAATTCATTAATAACACAGATCATTATGTGTTTGAATGAAAGAAACTAGTTGTCTTGCTCTGCAGACCCAGCAACCAATCTATGACTAATGCAAAAATGAGAAAAGTAGATGTTATAGCAGCACCAAAATGAACAAGACAACTTAAGCAACAATTGGAAGATAGCATCTTATTGTCTTGATTCCAGAGATGAAATGCAAAGCGTACATCCTAAATTAGAACACTCCAGATGACTCATGAGTCCTCCTGAGGATTACAAAGAGTAAAAAGGTGTCAACTATAATAGGCAATTCTTTCATTCTTCCCTTAGCCATTTCTTTGATAACCTTTTTTCACAAAATATAGCATGGAGTGCTCTCTAATTCATCTTTCATTTCCAATCATCAAATTTAAGTTCCTTGTTTACTTGAGATAATATCAATCAGAAATTAGAGTTACTAATTTCCAAGATCAAAAAATAATGGTAAGAGAAAACTTGATTACACAAGTAGATGGCAACAGCAGCATCTCCTAACCTCGGGATTAACGCGAGTAAGAACAACATTTTGTTCCGGCAATCTTACAACTGGCCGAAACACCCGCTCGTGCCCTTCAGATAGCTGAGGCACCTCCTCTTGCTGAACATTATACACTTTCCCACCATCCACAACACAATCAGTCTCTGCATACTGCTTCAGTAATGTCCGATCTTCAATGTATCTCTTCATCTGAGCTACCATTCCAGATTCCCGAACCGGATCAGTCTCATGTTCAATCCAATCCCGCAAAGACTCAATTCTATCTTCAAATGATTTCATTGTATTGGCAACAATGAGAGTTTCATCAAGATCAAACACAATAGCTAAACAGCGCGTATTTAACATCCATAGGCATGCACTATACAAACCACTTGGCACTGAGTAGCACCAAAAACATGGGAATTTCTTCTGCTTACTAGGCATTGCCACTAAATGAACCTCTTCATTCCCTAGTAACACCACTGCAGTCTACAGAAAATTCCAATATTGTCAGTTCAACAGAATAAATTATCTGTACAGATGTGCATAAATGACATATGATGCCAAATTAAAGTTATTGCAAGCATTGTATCTAGTGTCGGGAAACCTCTACATCAATAGGAGCAATAATTCATAACTGGACATTAATGTTAATTGAATCAACTACTGAGCTAAGTATCACTCCTATCTGGGGTGGAGGCACATATGAGAAAGGGTGGTCAGTGGCCCACCCAAAAAAAAAATTTTTTTTTTTTTTAAATTATAAAAATAAAAAACGAAAAAGGGTCACTATAAACGCAGAAATTTTCTCTCTATTCCAATTTCAAATAGCTTAGAACCTACCCACGTAATCCACCTTTTTCTCTCTTTCTTAAATACCTTGCAAATCCAATTTCAATTGACGAAAAGGTGAGTTTAACGAGTCTGTACGTTATACTCTTCAACAGATTTATTTGTATCCCTTTTTGCAATTATTTCACTATTTTTGTGCTTGTGGTTCAATGGTCAGAGAAGACAAAAAGAAAGGCTTTCTCCATAGAAGATTAAGAAAGGTACAATACAAACTTTGATGCATAATATGATAATAGACTAGCATTGAATTCCAACTCAAGAGGTTTCAAAATCTCTTGGAGAATGCAGAATTGTTTTTGTAGTTCTATTACTTATTGATTAACACAGCATTGCCAGTGTAAGAATATAATTTGGTCTTTTTTGCAGATATTATTTCACCATTTTCAGCTAGAAAGCACAATTTGGTCTTTTTTGCATATATTATTTCATCATTTTCAGATAGAAAGCATAGTCTCGACTCTTTTCTTGTTGTTGTTGCTACATGTGTGTGTATGTGTGCATATGTGTGTCAAGGAATTATACATAAACAAGCTAGGCGATTATATGGCAATGTTTTATGTATTTCATTGAATTCATCATCATAATTGATGGATCCCCAACGGAATACTATTTTACTTTCCTCTTCTTCACCAACCGAAAAGGATTTTTAGACTGTTTGCTAACATTGAACCCAAAATATTTAGGCAACCTTATAAGTCCGTAACCACTTCTCTAATTTTCCATGTGGAAGGACTTATTTTCTATCTCCACCCTCCCCTTGCAAGTGCAATCTAGATTTTGGTTAACATGTGGACTTGTAAATTAGGAGAAGCTATAAAATTTTTGTCATATAATTTTTGCCCACCCAAATAAAATGTTCTGACTCCGTCACTGACTCCTATGAGTGAAATGGAACGAATTTAACCACAACCAATTAAGATTTACAATCATCCATTCATACACATCACATATCCACAAGATGCAGAATATCTATAAAATTAGAAGAAATGTAGTTCGTTGTGCGACCTTGAGTTCGTAGAAGCAAGACGCGTGGAGATGGATCAAATGCTCTGGATTCGGATGGGTATTTGTATTAGAATTAGGCTCGAGCTTGCAACGAACTGAAGCAGAGGAAATTGTTTGTAGAACCGAGAGAGGGTGACATCTCTCACTTTTGGGGGAGATTGTATGTATACGAATCTCATTGTTCGGAAACTGAAAATTCCCATCCTTCACTAGAACAGTATCCAGCTCTCCCAAATACACATCACCATGGTACACCAACGTTTTAAACCCTAATCGATTCATAAATAGTAATAAATACTCCAAAATTCACAAAATCAAGAAAAATTCATTCAAATCCTGCAAATGTGAAATCAAATAGGAGAATTTATTTCACAATTTTAGAGACTAAAAAAGAAAAAATAAGAAATCTTGCTCTGCATGAATTTTCTCTCACACTTTCTCACTCTACTTAATCTCTCTCTAGAGAAACCTCTCTCTCCCCCTTCTCAGATAGCGGTTCCAAATGGGGTGCGGCTACATTTTATAGAAGTGTGGGGAGGAGGGTCGGTTATGTAAAATGGACATCGTTTTATTGAAATTTTCAGATATGCCATTATTGTACGGAGTACATATCGGGGTAAAAGCCGTGAAGTGGGGCGGTAGACTTTGAGCGAAGAAAATCGAATCTGCTAACGTACGCGTGGTGTTATTTTTCGATCGTCGAATTAGTCCATGTTTGATTTTATTTTATTTTTCACTTTAATTTAATTTATTTCTCACGTTCATTTTCAACTCCACATTTACACAATAAAATATTTTACACATAAATTTATAATATTTCTTTAATTTCCAACCACACATTTTCAAAAAAAAATAATACCTCCTCCATCCCAATTATATAGACTGGTTTCATTTTTTACACAGATTAAGAAATCGTCTTTAATGTCATTAGAAAATCAATTTTTGCCAAGATCTTCTTAATTTACCCCTATTTAATTTTTGGTATGTTGTCGTAAATTATTGTTGGAATTAGTAAATGATTTGAATGATTTAATTTGAGGAGAATTATTGGGAACCATAACTTGAATTTTTTGAAACAAGTAAAACTAAAACCAGCACTCAACAGCACCAGAATTCATACTGAAAAGGTCGAATTTCCAGCTAGCTACGAAAACCAGAATCAGAATTTAAACTTTTTTTTATCAAAACAAATTTCCATTGAGCCAAATTCATACTGAAAACATTAAATATTCACCAACTAGATACTAAAAGTAGAATTTAAACTTTTTCATCAAAACAAAATTCCATTCCGCCAAATTCATACTGAAAACATCAATTTGGATTTGAAGTTTTCAATTGCACATTATAAATAGAGATCCAAAGATAGATTTAAGTACAAGACAAAACATGAATAGTATATCAAAAACTTTTCCATTAATTTAAATTTGTTGCCTGAAAATTATTCCAATGTTCCACAGAATTTTCAGCTTGATTTGAATCATTTCCAGAAGATGTTGACTCTCTCTGCACTACCGACACAGTGGCTAACAATATGCATCATTCAAACAAGGAAAAAAAAAATTCATGTGATACAAGAAGAGCATTTTTTGAGATGCCAATCCATGAACGACAAGATGGAAAGTTAGCAAAAAGAGTCATTTTGAAAGTTGCCAACTCATTTTCTATATCTACTAAATCAGTTTCTAGAATTTGACATGACGAGAAATATTTTAGTACTACAAATAGTGATGTACCAGATTTTTCTTTTAGGCTATTGAATAGGAGATGTCGAGAGAGAGTCGAAATACAATTTGAACAAATGAAGAATATCCTTTTCCGTCGTCGAATAATATAAGATTTTTATCGAACGCGTTGGATATGTCGAAATCAACCGTACATAGGAGAGTCAAATAAGGACATATTCGACCACATTCAAATCCATTGAAACCATATTTATCAGACAAGAACAAGAAAACACGGTTAGAATTTTGTCTATCAATGGTAGATGAAAATACCCTCGCATCTACACCTACTTTTGTTAACATGCTTAATCAAATTCATATTGATGAAAAGTGGTTTTATATGTCCAAGACATCACAAAAGTATTATCTCCATCTGGATGAAACGGAGCCCTTTTGCACATGTAAAAGTAAAATGTTTATTACAAAGATAATGTTTTTGACTATTGTTGCTCGTCCACAAGTTGATGGTACTACAAATGAAGCATTCAATGGCAAAATTGGAATATGGCCATTCATGTCTAAGGAACCTACGAAGCGGAATAGTAAGAATGGTGTACCTAGGACTTTGGAGTCGAACCTATTGTGTCGGTAACTAAAGACGTGATCCAATCATGTGTGATTGAAAATTTGCTGCCTACAATCAAACTGAAATAGCCATGTTCAAGTTCTAGGACCATCTTCATTCAACAAGACAATGCAAAGCCACATTTAGATGTTAACGATATCAATTTCGCAGAAGCAGGGAGAAATGATGGATTCGATATTCATTTATGTCGTCAACCTCCGAACAACCCTGATATGAATGTCTTAGACCTTGGTTTTTTTAGAGCCATTGATTCACTTCAACATCAAGAGGCTCCAACTACAATTGAGGACTTCATTTTAGCAATTGAGAATGCTTTTCAGACATTTCCTACTAAAGAGTTGAATAATGTGTTTCTAAAATTGCAATCATGCATGGTTGAGGTGATGAGAAATTTGGGGGGTAACAATTACAGGATTCCACATATGAACAAACAAAAATTGATGAGAGATGGGCAACTATTGAATTGCATTCAGTTCGACTCTGACGTTGTATGAATGGTTAAGTCAGCTCTTAATTCAACCGAGTAACGTCAATCGGGTAATTTCGTAGATTTGGCATACGAGCTCTGATTTGGCCCCATAATACCTTTTCGAATAGGGAACGACGAGACAGATCAAACCAACGCTTTGTGGTTGCCTATGATGGATTTTAGCCATTTGAGATTGTTAAGGACTCAAAAATAGCACTTTTATGTTACGTGTATTTTTTTTCCTTTTTCTTTAGTTGCATCGTTTTTGCCCATATCCTAGCATTTCCAAGATATTGAAACATGTTCAGAACTCATTTTGAGGCTTGATTTTTTATTTTTGAACGATATCATTTGGTTGTTTCCCATTAATCGGCTTGCATTATTTTTCTTACTCTAGACCATGTCGTCCACACCATCCGTGTGTAAAAAATGTAGCTATAAATTGAACTTACTCAACACCAGAAGTGCATCTTTAAGTTGGCATTGAAATGCTGTAAACATTGGTTATACACAAACCTCGTAGAATTTGGATATATTATTTCTTAATATCAGCATCAACTTTATCAGCAAGAGCATCCATCTGGTCCTCATAGATTTTTGGTAGATAGATTTTGATCATTTGAGAAACAACACGTTGAAACTCCTGAGAAGCGGAAACGTAACCATCTTCAGTCGGTGGAACATTCAAATCAAGCAATGGCCTCACCACTTTCTTCAAGTTGAGATCACTTCGTAAAATTGACGTACAAGCATCTTCGATGGAATGTGGATGATTTTTAGAGTTTATGCTCATGATTTGGACAAATACTCGTATGCATAGAAATTTGGTGGCAGTGTGTATGACTGTGTTTTCGTGGAAATTTTTATCAGATGCTAGTCTGAAGATAGGAATGATTTTTATCAATAGTAGGAGACAGAAGACAAAGAATCAGAGGCATATTTACGTGAAGACACTGGGAAGTTGAAAAATCACAAATAGAAGAAGACATTCAATTTACAAAAAGTGGAAAATATGTGCATTTGGATTATTTCAATGAGTTGGTATAATAAGTGTGGAAAATTGAATAAGGGCAAATTAGTAAAGTAACAAATCAAAATATTCTAAATGAAGAAACCAACCTATATATTTGGGACAAATGAAAAAAGAAATCCAGCATATATAATTGGGACGGAGGGAGTATTCAAAAATATGTTTTTTTAAATTTGAAGGCTACCAAATAGATGTTTACTAGGCCTTTGAAAAATACAAGAGGAAATGGGGTATGAATAATGCTATTTGTTCATAAAGAGTTACGAAAACTTTTACAAATAGATGATATGTTAACAAAAAAGTTGATAAGTTATTTTTTTATTTAATTGAAGAAATTCTGACTCAATCATATATCACCCCATCATATGTATGTAACAAATCTACAACTTTATTTATAAGTTTGTATAAGATATTGACAAAAGATTTCGAGTTTGTTTTTAAATTTGTTTAGAGAAGATCAATCACCTAAATTCTTTTGGGGTGTACTTGATATATCCTTGCTTGTTAAAATAGATAAAATTGCAATAAAAAAATTTGTGCATAAACTGATTGCTAAGTGTAGTAGTATATTTGTATATTGAGTTTGTAACATAGGACATGAAGTTACACATTGAATCATGAAGAGGGTCATGTTCCAATTTTGGTCAGGCAAAACCACTACAATGAAAGTAGGGAACATTTAGTGTTAGTTGTACAGCACTATATTTTATATATGCAAAAAATACGTTTCGATATATTAGTAAGTAACATATATAATTAAGTATGTGGAGATACTGGTGTAATTTACAAAGTACTCATCAGAGTAAATAATTTCAATCTCACTGTCAAAATCTAGTTAATTGAATTTGTGACCAATTCAAAGAAATGAGGTTGAAGATATCAATGACATGTGAGTAAATCTCTTGAATTTGTGATATGTGATTTATGCACTTTGACATATGACCTGTTACATGTGACCTATAACCTTATGGGCATTGACCTATGACCAATTTTAATTGATCTGTGATCTATGGACATTAATTTGTGATCAATTTAAATTGATCTATGATCCACACACGATGAACATTGATCTCTATCTTATACAATATGATCTGTGGCGTATGAATTGTGACATACAAACATGATATGTGATCATCCTGTTTGATCTATGACCTGCGAATATTTATATATGATCATTGCATAATAACTTATGACTTGTGACCTATCACCACTATCGGCGTCACCAACAGATATCAATAAAGCATTTGATATATACTTTATGAACATGTGACCACTACAAACACCATAAGCACCACACCACAAAATACCACCTCAAAAACCACCACAAAACTCGCTTCAAAAACCACTACAAAACCCCCTCAAAACCATCCAAAATTACAAAAAATCACCATATAAACTATTGCAAACCACCACAAAATCACTGCAACGACGATCTAAGCCCTAATCGAAATTTTGGGAAAGGGAGATCTTAGAAATTGGTTTGTGCTTTCTGCTTCCAGAGAGAATAAAGTAGAAATGGTAGAAAGAGAGAGTATAGAGCCAAAGTGGTAGAGAGAGATACTAATAAAGAGAAGGGCGAGAATGGATAGTTAGAAAGAGAGATGAAATTAGGATTAAATCTCGCTCCGAGTAGGTTAAAGGGCGGTGTGTAATTTAATTTTATAATATATTGAAATATAGAATTACCACCTGATTTTTGAATAAACAAATATTCAATTGTTGTAAATGATAAGTTTATTAGTGAATGACAATTGTACCCCTACAATCATGAAAATTATTATCGTTGTATCCCTGATTTTTACATATAAATATAGGATTTTTGTTCTTAATAAAATAGGCAAAAAAATTATTGAATTTTATTATCTCTTCTATTTTTCTCTCTTTTCATAATATGTTGTCAGCACGAAATCTTAATTTTTAAAAGTTTAGTGAAAATTGATAATGGATTGTTAAGATACCTGCTTGATTGATAGTACAACTACACATACCATTGTTCAAGACAAAAAATATTTTTTGAACTTAACATTAGCACAAAATAACGTTAACACAATATCAGGTGCATCGAATATCATTGAAAACTCTAGAAGAGTTTGTATTATTTTACCAAATAATACAAAATTATATATTGACGATACACTTTATTCTAACAAATTAAAAAGAAATTTGTTTAGTTTTAAAGATATCTGCTGCAATGGATATAACATTGAAACGATGCAAAAAAATAATGTTAAATATCTTTATATAACTTCTTTTGTATTTGGTCAGATAAAGGAAAAACTACATGCATACCATCTGGCATGCATTATGCATTTATAAAAATAGTTGAATCAATTATTATCACGCACTAGAAGTTAGTTGATCAAAAAAGTTTTATACTTTGGCATGATCGACTTGGACATCCAAAAACTATAATGATGCGTCGAATAATCAACAACTCACATGGACATCCTTTAAAGAACCAGAAGATTCTTTTACCCAATCATTATTTATGTTTAGTTTGTTCACAATGCAAGTTAATCATTAGACCTTCAACTATGGAGGTCAATATTGAATTTCCAACTTTTTTGGAAAGAATTCATAGAGATATATGTGGGACAATGCACCCATCATGTGGACCATTTCATTATTTTATGGTATTAATTGATTCTTCTACTAGATAGTCACGTGTTTGCCTACTTTTGACTAAAAATATTGCATTTACTAAACTACTTGCTCAAATCATAAAATTACGAGCATAATTCTTCTATAACTCAATCAAGAATATTTGTCTTGAAAATACTGATGAATTTAGATTACAAGCATTCGATGATTATTATATGTTAATTGGGATTGTAATTGAACATTCAGTTGCACATGTCTATACACAAAATAATTTAGTGGAGTCGTTTATTAAACGTCTATAACTTATTGTTAGATCATTAGTTATAAAATAAAACTCCCAACTTCTGTTTGGGGTCATGACGTATTATATGCTGCATCATTGGTTCATATAAGATCAACTACCTATTATCAATATTCACATTTGCAACTTGTATCTGGTCATGAATCTAATATTTCTCACTTACGAGTTTTTGGTCATACTGTCCAATTCTCTATTTCACCCCTATAACATACTAAAATGGGTCCCAACAAAAAAGATCTGAAATTTATGTGGGTTTTGATTTACCATCTATTATTAAGTATTTTGAACCTTTAACAAGTTATTTATTTATTGCGTATTTTGTAGATTGTCATTTTGATGATATGACTTTCCCTAGTTTGAAAAGGGAAAAACTATATTTTGAAAAGCAAAGTAAAATTTGTTGGAATAAAATGACTCTATTTTACTTTGATCTCCTCAACAATCAATATAAACAAGATGTTAAAAAAAGCATTCATTTGGAAAGAGTTACAAATCAATTACCTGATATATTTGTTGACACAAAAAGTGACAAAGTCATATATTTCAACAAAATTTGATATCCTTGAAGAATAATCTGCTGTGACAAATCAATCTCAAATACGCCAAAAGGGTGATCAACCAGTTGGTTCAAAAGATTTTATACCTCAAAAAAGAAAAGTAGAAGAGAAAACAAACCAAAACTTCGAAAGAAGTAATATTAAAAAAGATTGATCAATCAAATATTGAAAATATAGTTCCTGAAAAAACACACATATTCGAAAATAATGAGATTTCAATCAATTATATGTTATCTCATAAATTATGGTAACGAAATAATGTTGTTATAAACAATATTTTTGCCTTTAATGTAGTTTTTGATATTATACGAAATAAGAATCCTGAACTACGGTCAGTCAAAGACTGTTAAAATAGAAATGATTGACAAAAATGGAAAGAAGTCATACAGGTGGAATTAAATTCTTTAGAGAAACGAAAAATGTTTGAACCTGTAATTCGTGCACCTGAAAATGTAATCAATGTATGATAAAAATGGATTTTTGTACGAAAAAGAAATGAAAACAATGAAATTATAATATACAAAGTCTGACCCACAGCTCAAGGTTTGACAAAGACCAGGAATTAATTTTGAGAAAACATAATTTCTCATGATGGATACCATCACTTTTAAATTCTAAGTAGTTTAAGTATGTCACAAAGGCTTGATATGAGCTTTATGAATGTAGTAACTGCCTATTTAAATGGTTCACTTGATAGTGACATACAATCAAAGTCCCTGAAGGACTTAAAGTGTCAGGAACAAATGACACGTGCTCGAGAACCATGTTCTCAATTAAATTGTAAAAATCATTATATAGATTAAAACAATCTAGACACATGTGATATAATCGCCTTAATTGTTGAATGAGAGTTATAAAGCCTCCATTTGGTCCCCATTCTCTTTCATTTTTTTCTCTCTTTTATTTTCAACCACACAATTTTCCATAAAATAATATTACACGTAAATCGAAATTTTTTTTTATTTTTTCAACCACACATTCTTCAAAAAATACAATTCCAACCATTAAATTTTGAAAAAAAGGGGAACAAACGGGGGCATAAATAACGATATCTGCCCATGTGTTTTCATGAAGAAAACAAATATTACATTTACAATTGTGACAATTTATGTTAACAATATAAATTTAATTGAAACTTCTGAAGAACTCAACAAAACTGCGGATTATTTGAAAAATAAATTTGAGATAAAAGATTTTGGTAAAATCAAATTCTGTCTCGGGTTGCAGATTTAACATTTCCCCAAAAAGATTATTTGTTTATCAATCTACATATATGAAAAAAAGTCTTAAAGTGCTTTTATATAGATAATGCACATCTATTAGCAGCACCTATAGTTGTTCGATCACTTAATGAGAAAAAAGATCAATTTCATTCACTTGAAGATGGAAAAAATGATCTTAGTGCTAAAGCACTATATCTTAGTGTAATTTGAGCATTAACTTATTTTACAAATTGCACTCGACCCGACATAGTTTTTTCTTTAAATCTCCTTACAAAATATAGCTCTACACCAACTTCAAAATATTGAAATTGTGTTAAACATATTTTTATTACCTAAAATGTATTATTGATTTGAGATTATTTTATTCTCAAAAGTCGAGATCTGCTTTAATGGGATATGCAAATGCATGTTATCTCTCTGACCCATATAAAATTAAATCACAAATAGAATATGTGTTTACATGTGGAGAAACAGTTATATCATGAAGATCTGTGAAGCAATCTTTGACGGCAACACTCTCAAATCATTCTAAAATTATTACAATTCAAGAAGCACGTTGAAAATGTGTATAGTTGAGGAATATGACCTATCATATCTAGGTATCATGCGGGTTAATTTCAACAAAAGATAGTTCAACAATTTTGTATAAAGACAATACAACTTGTATTGCCAACTTAAAGGAAGTTATATCAAAGGTGACACGACAAAGCATATTTCTTCAAAATTCTTTCATATACACGAGTTTCAAAAGAATGGCGATATCAATGTCCAACAAATTCACTCAAGTGACAATGTGGCCGATTTATTCACAAAAGCACCGTCGACATCTACATTTAAGAAATTGGTTCACAAGATTGAAATGCGTCGACTTAAAGATTTTCAGTGATCAATATTAGAGAGGGTAGCTGTACTCTTATCACTTCACTTACGTTTTTATCTCACTAGATTTTCATACCAAGATTTTAATGAGGCAGCAGTTATTTTTAATACTTAAAAATAACTGTACTCTTATTCGTTTGTTTGATTTTTTCATTGGATTTTTATCAAATAATATTTTAACGATGCAGATATTTTGTAATGTGTCATTCAATGGGGAGTGTTGTAAATGATAAATTTATTAGTAAATGACAATTGTACCATGTAGCACTAGAAATTATTAATGTTGTATCACTAATTCTTACCTATAAATATGAGGCTTTTATTCTTAATAAAACATGCAAAAAATTTATTAACTTCATTCTCTCTTCTCTTTTTCTCTCTTTTCATAATATAAATATCTTTTTTAAATTGTAATTTTTAAAAAACTGTGCCAGTGTAATTTCCACTTTAACTACGCGTTCTCCAAAAATTTACTATTCTAAAATACATTTTTTCTAAACTTAATTAAAATAGAGCCCAAACAAATTGTGAACGGCTTAAATTAGTGGGCTTTTGCCGAACATGCTCTTAAGGTGAAGCCCAGAAGACCATATGACCATCCAATTATATGATGAAACAAAATTTGCACCCACAACTGAAAAAAACCTCTAAAATGGAAATGCATACACGTCATATACACATGAGCAAAGAGATTCCAGTTGGCGAGTTGCTGATAAGTACTCCCATACAATAATACGACACTGCACCTTACACGTGTTACTATATTGTTTGTAGTTACTTAATTAATTGAAGATTCAAGCAATTATAATTTGACACGTCGTTTTAAGAATTTGAACTTAATGCAAGTAAAAACTGACGAGCTTATGGCGATTGATTTCTCGTATCAAAAAAATTAGATCAGTCGTCAGAGGTTGGAAGATGAGAAAGCTTGGCTCGAGTATCATCTCAAAACTATCATTGCAGAAGTTCAACTTAGCTCACTCAGAGTCATACGCCGACTACATCGAGAGCGAGTTGATGAGGGAAGGAAGTCTTAAGGAGGACTTGCCATACGGTTTCAAAGATATGGTCGGTGAGGCTAAGTTGTCTTACAGCAAGGAAAACGCTTCGATTCTACCACCACAGGTGGATATGCTACCGGAGGAAGGCTTCGCTCTTCTAGAGTGGAGAAGTTGACTTTGAAAAATCCTTTGCTTGCGTGAATTCTTATCATCTCTGCCTTTACAAATAGTATATGTTGAATTTATTGGAAAAATTGTTGCATTCGTGAGAAATCTTTGTTGGACTAAATAAGTGTAGTGGATGAAACTGAATTCATTCATATCGTATATACAATTTACATATTGGATTTATGCATATCATATATACAACATACCGTATATGCAGATTATCGTATTTACAACAACATATCATATTTGCAATAGCTTACTGTATTTGCACCAATTTATTGTATTTGCACTTGTTGACCGTATTTGTACCAGCTTACCGTATATGCAACAGTTTACCATATTTACACCAGTTTATCGTATTTGCATATACCGATCTTACATATACCGTATATGCAGTATGCAAAACTGTATTCTGTAAAAAAATTTGGCGAAACTGTATTCTAATTTTTCTTCTTGTCTATATAATTTTATTTAAAACATAAATAGAATAACAAAATAATAAAACTATAAATTATATAAACCACACAAATAAATTGCAGATATATACGAACAATGAAGATAAAATCGCAAGAAATAAATAAATAAAAAATGAATTTTCAACCCAAGGCCTGTGCGATCACAGTTTCCTTAAAACAAATCCGCCCCCTTACGGTAAGTGCTTGAGATTTAATTCGAGCATCTGTTTTTCAGGATACAACGATAAAACCAGTGGGATCTGAGCACCACAAATACTACTCCAACAAACTAATCAGTATCTGAACAATATCACCACTAAGACGACGCTGACAGAAATCGAGATTATGTGTGCAACAGACCAACTTCGCGGAGAATGATAATATGTAGACACAGTTTTTCTCCTATATTTCGTGCGTAAGAATTGCTGAAAAATGATATTTAATATAAGTTAAATATGCCCATTAACTCTATGGCAATAAATATTGGAATTATTTCAATTTCTCTGTAGTAATAAAACAAGTAGGATCTGAGCACCACAGATACTACTTCGTGAATTGATTAGTATCCAAACAATATCACCACCAAGTCGATGCTGACAAAAATCAAGAGTATGTATGCAGACAGACCAACTTCACAGAGAATGATAATACGCAAACACGATTTTTCTCCTGTATTTCGTCTGTAAGAATTGTTGGAAAATGAGATTTAATATAAGTTAAATCTGTCAATTGACTCTATGGCAATAAACATTGGAGTTATGCAGGTTATGCCCGCACACAAGTTCAAGGTCCGATGGCTATTTCGGTCTATAATTTGCATCCTTCCTACACGCGCACGTAGAGAGAGCCTCTATACCTATGCTACACATGATCACACCATTTCAATGTGTAGCCATATATAAAGTGGTTCTTGTTTTCATCATTTTCCTATGTGAGATAAACTCATTTTTCACATAAACGGTAAACCATCATCCAATGGTCAACTTTGAGCTCCAGTTTTTCATTCACTCGAGTTTCATTTTTAGCAAGTAAATATATGATTTCGATGTTCTCATAGAGGAGAACACAAATAATTTTGATCTTCCAAATTGGACCAACTGGTCCTATAGAAAATTGTGCCAAAAGTGAGTCATCTACTCATTTTTTCTAACAATCCGCCACAAGAACGGAATTTGAGAGAGACACGAGATCGTGAGACATAAGACTTGGTGATAAAGTTCAACGATTGAAACCTGTATAGGGTAGCCATGTATTACCCTTTTAACATTTCCTTGTGAAAACATATTTACTTTATTAGTTGACCAGTAGATGTGTTGTCCTTGAACTATTTTGCCGTTTATGTAATGATATACTCTACACAGTATTCTTCGCCTTCGTTTAGCCCCCATTTTCTAGAAATGAAAATGGGTGGAATAGTATTTTTTTTTAAAATGAGTGGTTGAAAAAGAAGGAAATTTTTTTTATTTACGTATAATATTATTTTATGGAAGACTGTGTAGATAAAAATAGGAGAGAAAAAAATGGAATATAATATAATGATATTTAATGGGGGCCAAACGGGGGTTTCATAACACAATTCATTTTTCATTATTATGTTCGTTTCGGTCATGAACATGTGCCTGGTTTTGTTAGAGTTCTTAAAAATTAAGCCCCACACAATTCTCTTAGAAGTGGCCCCACTTCTGTCTCACATAGGTAATTTCTTATTACAAGTAACCCGCATTACTTGGCTCCATTTTTTACGCATAAGAATCATTAAAAGCCTATTGCTTATCTTTTATCCTTACGAGCATCACTGTTACATCAGGAGGTAACATCCCCACAGTGATTTTATTAAATCTTTACAATTAGGTTGTCTCTTTGAACCTAGATCTTGGGATCTCCAATCAACTAGGTTGGGTTTCCTTTGTAATAACTTATCTAATATAAGGTTTAAGTCCTATTCATTTCGATGATTTTCCCAACTATCCATCCATTTAACATTTTGGTTAGTGGATCAGTAATATTATCTTTTGACCTTATATAGTCAATAGTGATAACTCCAGTTGAGATTAGTTGTCTTATGGTATTGTGTCTACGACGTATATGTCTAGATTTGCCATTGTACATATTACTCCGTGCCCTTCCTATTATTGGTTGACTGTCACAATATATGCAAATTGCTGGCACAAGTTCTGACCATCTTGGAATATCCTCTAAGAAGTTGGGCAACCATTCGGTTTCTTCACCACATTTATCTAGAGCTATAAACTCAGATTTAATTGTAGATCTGACAATAACTGTTTGCTTAGAGGATTTCTACGATATGGCACCACCTCCCAATGTGAACACAAATCCACTGGTGTACTTTGAGTCTTTTACATAATATATCCAATTACCATCACTGTATCTTTCAATGACCGCTGAATATCTAGTATATGTAGTCCATAGTCACCAGGATATCTTAAGTACTTTAGTACTCTTACTATTCCTTTCCAGTGATCAGTTCCTGGATTACTCGTGTATCAACTCAATCTAATGAGTGTGTAGGTTATATCTAGTCTTGTACAACTCATCAAGTATATTAGATTTTCAATAACTCTCGAGTATTCTACTTGAGAGACATTTTCACCTTTGTTTCTAGATAGATGTTGACTTGTATCTATCGCTGTTCTAGCCAAGTCAGTAGTATCCTTATTAAATTTTTCTAAAATTTTGTCCATATAATGTGGCTGACTTAGAACAAACCCATCTGATATTCTTGAGATTTTGACTCCAAGTATAACATCAGCTAAATCCATATCTTTCATGTTAAATCTAGAATTTAACATATTCTTAGTGGATTCAATCATCTTATTGTCACTAACAACAATAAGCATGTCGTCAACATAAAGACGTAAAATGACATAACCATCTTTAGTGTTTTTGACATAAACACATTTGTTACACTCATTGATTTTAAATCCACTCTCTATCATGACATTATCAAATTTTTCATGCCATTGTTTGGGTACTTGTTTCAAGCCATATAGTGACTTCACCAGTTTATAAACTTTCTTTTCCCGTCTTGGTGATGAAAACCCCTCGGGTTGTTCCATATAAATTTTTTCTTCTAAATCTCCATTTAAAAGGCAGTTTTAACATCCATTTGATGTATTTCAAGATTTTGCAAAGCGGCAATCGTGAGTATCACCCTAATAGATGTTACTCTCGTCACTGATGAATACGTATCAAAGTAATCAAGGCATTCCCTTTATTTGTAACATTTTATTATTAATCTAGCCTTGTACTTTTCGATAGTACCATCTGCTTTCATTTTCATTTTGAAAATCCATTTGTAGCATAGTGGTTTGTTTCCTGGAGGAAGATCCACTAGCTCTCATGTATGATTTTACAGTATGAAATTTATTTTACTTTTAATGGCATCCTTCCATTGAGGTCCTTTCGAGGAATTCACAGTTTCTTGATAACTTTGAGGTTCACTTTCTAGAATATATGTCAGAAAATCAGGACCATACGATTTTCTATCATTTTCCATTTGCTACGTCTAACCTTAGTCTTTTCTATTAGTTTTTCGTCATGACTATTTTCAGTTATGGTCTTATAAGTTCGTTTGAAGGAGCTTGCATCCTCTTTGGACTTGTACGAAAATACATGTTCAAAGAATGAAGCATTTCTTAATTCAAATATCGTATTTTTATGTATGTCTGGGATTTCGTAATTATACACAAGAAATCGATAAGCACTATTATTATGTGCATAGCTAATGAAAATGCAATCTACTGTTTTTGGCCCTATCCTTACCCTCTTTGGTGTTGGAACGACGACTTTAACAAGACACCCTCATACTCGTAAGTATCTTTAGGAATACTTTCTTCCTTTCTATAACTCATAAGTGGTCTTTTCCATTTTCTTTCGAGGCACCTTATTTAAAAGGTAATTTGCTGATAGAACAGCTTCCCCCCACGTATTTTGGGACAACTCGAAACTTACTAGCATTGTATTCATCATTTCCTTTAAAGTACAATCTTGTCGTTCAACAACACCATTTTGTTGAGGTGAATAAGGTGCATTGGCTTTATGTATGATTCCGTGTTGTGCACAAAATTCAGCAAATTGTTAGTAATCTGTCCCGCCTCGCCCTGCCTTGCCTTAGACGGAACCCGGCGGAGTCATGCCCCGTTTCTTTTTTTTCCTCAAATTCACAATTTGAAAACCCTGACATCCAAATTAAGTACTCGAAACAAACAATATCCGAAAATAAATAATTACAAATACAATTACATTGTAACTAAATTTCACTTCTTTATCCAAAAATAAATTTGATATTTTTCCATCTTTATAACTTTATTCATCAGCAGTTTAGAGATTGTAGAAAATGGATCCTGAAAAATGAAAGAAATATTATACTCAATAAATCCTAAAAAATGAAAGAAATATTATCCTCAATATCATCATAATAACTATGATTAAAATTTAAATTATGTGATAAATAAAATTACCTCCTCATCAACATCCTCATCATTCATCTTGAAGCAACTTCCAAAATATGTAGACGGCACAGAAT